TTCTTTGTACAACGGTTTGAAAATTTTATTGTAGTAAACTGTTTATGATGGATGCGCTATTTTCTTTTACCCGTTTGTTAATTTTGCTTTGGTGAAGCCTGTTCGAGAATGTGAGGAACTTTAAAAAACAAATCCAGGCTCAGGTGGGAAATGTCTTCGTCTGGAAGTGTAAATTGCGGCTCAAAGTTCTAAGCACCTCCACGAATTTTGCATGCCGTCACTTTAAGTGAACGGTTCGCCGAGGAAAGAAATGTTAACTTGTCGAATCTGTCATCTACCTCGGCAAGTTATTTAAGTGACGGAAAGATTTAGTCACCGCCATTCTTTCCGTCTTTTTTTTAAGGAAAGTTTTCACTGTTAACTTGTTGAATCTGTCGTCTACCTCGGTAAGTTATTTAAGTGACGGAAAGATTTAGTCACCGCCACATTCTTTCCGTCTTTTTTTTTAAGGAAAGTTTCCATTGTTGACAAATATACTTCATAGCTCAAAATCGGCGTTGCGAAAGTTGCCTCACTTCAAAACTAGTAAAAATCATCTTATTTCTCTGGTCACATGTTTTGTTTTAAAATAGTAAAGGAATTATATTCTACCACTTAACTGAATTAACGAAAACACGAAACACGCTAACCTGAAAGATCTACTGAAATTTTGGAGCAACGTAATCAGCAACATTTAAACTTTTAATAGCCGTAAGTGTAAATTGTGATTTACCGATTTATATCGTCGCCAGACAAATGTATTTATCCGTCAGCAAAGCATTTTACTGTCATCATTTCAAATATAATACTCTGTTTCTGCGAAAAGAACGACATAGAAAATCCTTGAAAATTCTTTATTTACTAATTTAGTTTTGCGAATGTCACAATGGCGCACCTAAATGAGACCATGTCAGTCAAAGCGTTTTTGTATACGTAAGAAGAAACAAATTACTGTGTTTATATTATAATAAAGGCATAAGAAAGTTTGTGTTAAGGAGGCTCGAAAGGGATTTTTTTGACCGCGCGGAGAATGGATTCCAAGATACACGCAAGCTAATTACTCGCGGGAGAAATAAGCGATAGCGCGCGCGATCAGACCCGCGGGCGAAATGTAAACAAACATGGCCGCCATGAGCGTTTCAAAATTGCCGGCACCTCTATTGTTTCCAGCGGAAGTGGTTGTTTGAGAAACAAAAATGGAAAGTTTACTTCTTGAAAGCAGGTAGGAAAATGTTCGGATGGCAGGATTCTTGCCGAAAGTGGTCAAAAAAAATGTTATTTAACGATCGAAAGGAGGATGGTGAAGTAGACACCCCATCAATAAAGTCGCGTCGAGTGCATTCGGTAGATCTTTGTTCCGCGAAAAATTTAAGTGGATACCTCTGAGTGCTACGATTTGTTTCGCATTGAATTTGATTGCTAATAAAATGAAATGAACGAAAACTTTCCTAAACAACTCACTGGAAGATGAAAAGGAAAATTAAATCATTGTTGGATCCAGGATTGTAAACATTGACAGTTTTATTAACGGAAATGGAGAAGTGTAAATGTTGCCATTAAAATAAACATAACTTTCAGTAAACAAGAGATCGTAAAAATGTAGATGAGACTTTAATTCTAATTCAGCCACAGACGGTAAAATTAAAATAAAATATTCATCTTTAACCTGTGAGAAAGATTGTTAATATTTCCCTTGATGAACTGTAAATTACAACTACGAATATGCAAACTCGCATTTGTTAAGAAAGGATTGCAAAATTTGTTTTGTTTTCCAATTAAACGGAATAATGAAAGTTCACGGTTATGACAGTGGCAAAGAGAAAAAAAGAAAAATGAAGCCAAGGCTTGTTCATACCTCTAGTACCTCGAAAATTATAGAAATTCGCGAAATCTGTGACGACCAACAAATTGCTGATGTATATGAAACCCTAATTTCCGCTGAGTTTGACGCTCGTGACAATCTGGAAGACGTCAAAGCAAATTATTTTCACGCAGTCCAAATTGTTTTCACTCCTCCACTTCAAATTGCACATGAACAATTATATCGGTCAATCATGGTAAATGTGCATCGTCGAATGAGGCCTTCGATCAAGCCATCTTCTCGGAACAGCGACAAGATACCATCCGGACGTTCGATGGAAAGCTTCATCTTTCGACAAACTTGGTCCAGAAGCTGGCAGATGCTGGTTTGTCTCATGTTACACTACAATCTCTGTTCGAGAAACTCAACATTTAACGGCCTCAATGGAGTACTGGCATTGGCGCCATGTACAAAATCAACTTGTTATCATATATATCGAGTTCAATTCCGCTAGAGAATTCTCTCCGGAGTTTCTCTCCGGAATTTCTCTCCGGAGTTCATTTCCAACTGTCGTAACGGTAAGCAGTCTGAGTCTCAAATGATGACTCGCTTTTCAGGAATGTGTAAAATCACAAAACAATGTGAATCCATCTTCAGGATGAACGATTTTTTCCGCACTGTGGGCATCCGTCGATTAATCGCGCGGACACGGACTCATCTTCGCGAAAATGAGCCCTTGAGTCAGCGGTATCGTTTAGAACGCGTGACCGGATATAAAAGTGTGAGCTAAAATTGCAAAAACCGGAAATAAAGTTTGCTAAGTTGATGAACTAATATCTCGAAATATAATATGTCAAGTCATTATCCTGATTATAAGTTTGACAGTCCTGATATCTTTTACTGATTGGCACTTGCTGTTAATTGTGGAAAACCCTTTCGAGTCTCCTTAAGAAAAGAAATCGCTAAAAATATCTTAAAGACCCTTTATTACAAAAACCCTTAAAGACCCTTTATTACAATTACGCAAAAAATCAAATGACAGACCGAAATATTCTTTATAGTGTACAATAAAGACATATTATGGCTACACTTAAATTTCTGCTAACTTAAGAATTCAAGTTCCTTATGGGAAAATCACTTGCTAATTTTTCAACATTACAGTGAAACTTTTAGGTAGCTTTGAGCGCCAATAAAATCGGAATTACATCCTTCCATTTAAAATTTTTATATGCAAAAACTTCGCTACTAAAAAATCTTCAGTTCATTACATTTTACAAGGCAAAAAGTTTGTGTAGCCCAAGAGAACAGATTCAATGGAGAACTAGACTTCAATTTTTGTTACCTCCCAAGATCCGGTCGCAAAACCAAAAGAGGTGCTCTATGGTTTCAGATTTACGATAACAGAGAAAAGCACCTGTGGCGATCTTTAAAAACCCATTTTCATACAACAACACATCGGTACCAATAGTTCTATGAAATGTCCTAACTTGAAAGCTTCCTAACTGGCTAGTACTTGTGCATAAGAAAGGGATACCGTATTGAGTTGAACTGATTTCTTGTTAATGTACTTCAGATAAAAAAAATGTTGGATACATGAGCCCGTAACATGCCAACATCGTAAAGAAATAGAAAACTACTTGATTTAAAGTTTTTAAAGATGATTTTGAAATATGACTGTCAAGTTACTAGTATCGGCGGGAAACAGGCCCTTTGGCTAACTCCAATCAATATGGAATACATGCAGTAATTTATAGATAATCGATGATAGTAGTTTTATGATTTCGTTGTGGTTGTTTTTTTGTTCTTTTTTTCTAGGGTGTCGTTTCAAATGATTTATTCAGATCAAAGAAAACACGTGTAGTGGGTTAATTTAACTCAAAATAAGGAAAACGACTGACTAAACTTTGTCGACTCAAGAAGTGTTTCTAAACAAAAGTCATGTCTGTCACTTCAGATGGATAATTATAAATAAATGAAGTTTTGATACATGAGCCTGAGGAATTCTTAAACCAGACTTTCTTTATTTAAAAAACAAGATCGAAATCGACAAAATGTTTTCCCTCACTTATCTAAGGGTTGATAATAAAAAACGTCCTTATTTGACAACTGGCGGTAGCATTTTGAATTTGAGTATTGGGATCCTAAATCACCTGCTCCTGTTAAGCCTACACATACTATTTTCATTCTTTTTAGAAATGTCAAACGTTAACCAATATAAAAAGGTGCTCATCAGTCCAATTAAATAAAGGCTAGACAATAAATGGATTAGAACCCGGTCGGGAGTAAAATATGAAGGCTGATAGTCCGGGTCAGAGAGGTGCTGAGTAGTTATTACTGACATTTTGACAATCAAAGCGTTAGCCGACTCTGATGATGAGTTCCGGTTGTCAAAACGTTAGTTTATACTACCGCCAACAGTCCTTCCCAGAACTACTCTCACCTGAGTGACCAGACCACATATCCTCAATGTGAACGGTAATTAAAAACAGAAAATTTCATAAAGACTATTCCTTGTAAATGCTCACGATTTCTCAAAAGAAGAAGAGAGGGGCCTGAGAAAGAGGCTGTCAATCACTCATTGCCACCTCTCTAACTGTATAGAGGATGACGGCAGATTGGGCAGCTGCGACTGCAAATTAAAAGGAAATATTTCATGAACCTAACTAGCTTGGAATAAATGTGAGAATATTAAGATCATGATAAGTTTAGAGTTGGGCTAAAAGTAAAAGAGTCTGCAATGTTCATTGTCGACCCGACTTGCTGTGGAGTCAAAGCTATTCCAAGGCTGCATGCAAAGAGAAATATTCTCTCAAGTGTCGGAGACCAAAACCAAACTGCTTATACAGCCAATCAGAAGGTAGTTAGTTTATTGATGAAAGAAATGATGTCACTTTGAGCATACTTACACGCCGTTTTGTACCATTGCAATTGCACACTCTCTGTGAACCTTGTGTGAGCATGGCAGAATTTGACAACCGCTAAATGCGTCCTGGAAATAAGGGTTCGAAACATGTTAAATATCTTCAGGTATTATCAGTATTACTTTTACCAAAATTGGTTCTTCTCATATTTCTTAAAACGCTTTCATATACACTGAGAGCCATGCTAAGAAGAATTAAAGTGCTCTCCTTGTATGATGCTAGATTTCTTGCCAAAAAATTGCATGTACCAGATGTCATTTTCAGTATCCAAAACAAGGCTGTTTTTACGACAAAAGGGAAAAACCTATTGGCCAATATCCCCCGAGCAGAGTTGATTTTGGATACAACCGCAGTCCCGCGAATTTATTCTCTTTGAACAGTTTTCAAAAACCCACGCTCTTATGCTGTAGAAAATAAACGGTCAAATGTATGAATGGTACGAGAAAACATTTACCTCAATGAAATCCAGACTCAGTGGTAGTGGAAACTCTATAGCTTCTCTATGTTAATTGAGCATAAACACTGACCCACAATTCTAATTCTCTAGATAGAACGCAACAAGCGACGTAACACTTTTCAACGGTTTGAGAACACAAAATAAAACATTTGACAGTATAACCGATGACCAAATCCACAAACATTGAGAAGTGATAAACAAGACAACGCGACAAACACAAAACGCGGTGAGACGAAAAAAACAGAGAAAACCCCTTCTCTAGAAGTTTTGCAGCGACAAAGGGTTAAACCGAAGAGTAAGTCATTACCTCTAAACAGATGCAGCACTCATCATGTCCTGAATTTTCTCGGCAAGAATGTCTGCCTTCCAGCCTTTTGTCCAGACAGACGTTACACACATCACAGTGGAAGGAACGGTCCTTGTAGATGCTGAACCGAAAATAAGAAAATTACTCTTTAGGTAAATATTCTAACAAAACCCAAAATACCTCAGTCAGCAATGAAATTCTAATGCAAAATAGAAAACCTATATTTCTACTCGATTAAATTTACGCACTACAGAAAAGGGAACCAAATGAGAAGACACTGGCAGTGGTAAATTTCATGCGCGTATCGATCAGGGGTTTCCCTCTCTTATTCAACAATGAACTCGCACCGAGATTAGCGACAGAATTATCCATTCCCGCGGTAACAATTGGTATTGAAGCAGGCCAATTAATACCTTACTATTTTGGAAAACAATGATATTGTAAAGAAAACAACAAAAGAGGAATTTCTTAAAGAGTATCGTTTCACCTACCGGCAGATACCACATTTTGTGCAGTGATATGGATTTTTGTCTGTGCTTGTGAAGTGTTTACATACAGAGCAGAAATATGCCGAGAACTTTGTTTTACATCTGGCACAGGTGTGGGCATCCTGGTTGATCTTGAAAATAAATCAACTATTAAAAGCAAATCGCATAAAGTGAGATGCACCATCTCTATTTCGACATTTACAAATCTTTGAATGAATGTCATATTCATATACCTCTTGTTGATGGCTACAAACAGAGCACTCGACAAAGTATCCCTCTCTTGCTTTGGAATTATCATTTGGACACCCAGAGTTGTTATGGCAACGATGACAAGGAAAGAACTTTCCACAGCATGGGAACTTGACACGACAAAGCCGCTGATAATGTTCACACAGCCATTGTTGACTCCCAACGCCAGCCGAGTTTTGAGAGGGTGTTTCTCCTCCATCGCTTGTCGGGTCTCTGGCTTCTTCTCTGCTATTCCTGCATTCCGTTTGTCTTGCTTCACTTGCCTCCCTCTCTCTTCTTTCACGTGCTTGTTGCTCTTTCCTGGCTCGTTCTTCTTTTTTTCTTCGCTCTTTCTCCTTCATCGCCTTTTCTTTTATTTCCCTTTCTTTCAAGGTTTTTTCGACAAAGGTACAAGTTTCGGCCACTCTTTGCTCCAAGTCAGCTAGGGAATCATTACTTGAGTGTGACGAACCATCGTTCAAGACACCCAGTGGCCCTTGGTTAGCCGTGTCCTGATCTGCAAATGTTCTTGTTTCCCATGTCAGATTTCTGTTCATGACTCCTTGTGGTAGAGCAGAGATTTCCATTTCAGGAGGGACCAAGCTTTGTGCAATTGAGGTAGTGTTAGATACACGTGCAGGATTTTCATTCATCGCTTTAAAGTCACAGTTTCTCTCCCGTTGTACTTCAGGCTCAATACATTGATTCTTGACTTTTCTCTGTTGCGGAAAAGAGGGAGTCTGGGCCAACAGCGCGTTATCATTGACTACAGCATGCGGAGTTACCACTACAATTCCCGGGTCATCACTGGAAAGGGTTTGGACATGCTCAGATCCGTTGCAGGGAGGAGAAAGTAAAGGGCGAGTAGGTACTGGTAGATCCAAAACTGCAGGGTCAGGACAGAAGGAGCCAAGAGGATTTGGACCTTGTGGGTCAGCAAATACCTTTGAATTTTCAAAATGAAACGATGGAGCTTGACAGGGGTAAATACCTTGATAGGCTTGCTCGTAAGAGAAAGAAGACGGTCCATGATGCCTTGAGAAGGTTTTGGAAGACCCTTCATTGGCGTTTTCTGCTATATTCCACATGTCATCGATAGGAGTGGTCATGCTACTGTCATCTGTATGACGAGCAAGGAAGCAAGGCTTTATACCGAAAAAGGTTGATTCTTTTTCATCGATGATGTTTTTCATATCACCTCCTCTTGGTGGAAACTTCTCAGACTTTGCGTCTTTATCGTTCCAGTCGGTAACCGAATCGAGATTCTCGTAACTTGGGCCGCTGTCAGAGAAAGATGGATCTTGTCCTCCACCCCTTAAGCCTAGAATCATCCCATGCTTTGTGTTGTGACTTGTTCCTGATAGATCCCCTTCATTCTTGTTTTTACTCTCCTGAGAAACCTTAAGCGACTTTGAATCGACTTTACGTTCTTTAATTCGTCGGTTTTCATCTGAGGCATCATTGCAATAATTGGTGGCGGTAGCGGCTTCCTCTTGAAAAGGTGATTCAGCAGATCCTGTTGAGGAATAAGAAGGATGACAATTTACGATTTTAGCTATATCACTCTAGGTTTTTTTGACTGTATCATCGACTTCATCATCGATAGAATTCCCTTTCAAATCATCAGTGTGAATACACTTCTCAGGATGTCTTTTATTCTCAGGTTGTTTGCCATCCGTCTGAACTTTGAAATAGGCGGTAGGGGGTGGTGCTTGATTTTTCTGCCCTTTACCTATTTCATTGCTTCTGTAGTTGAAGTCTAAAGCACTGAGATACGGCATGCTAAATCTCTCTTCATCTGAATTTACAAATTTTGGAACTTTTCTTTGGTGTTTTTCTAATTCTGAATCACACGAACATATGGAATTCACTGATAGTTTACCTGTCTCTCCTGGTTCTGATCTTGGTATTCTGGAGACTTCATCAGCACTTTCTTCACCCGAGGATGATGATGATGAGGATGATGATGATGATGAGGATGATGATGACGATGAGGATGATGATGACGATGAGGATGATGATGACGATGACGATGTAGGTAATGATGATGACGTACTTACTTCACTGGATGATGACGTAGGCTCCACCACATTTTCAGACTGGTCAGAGTCACTGAGATCTGTTTGGGTACTAAGGTCAGTTGTCGAGGGAATACTCAAAGAATCTGTTTGTGTCCATGATTCCGACATAAATGACTGTCTGAGAGGTAAGGTCGGAAGAGTAGAAATACGGTCTGGACGTTCGGCTTCATGCTGCAGCATCTGGCACTCCTGAGAATGGAAGGAATTAAAAATCATAACCATTACTAAACATTAACTTCTGAACATATTATGGCTATGTAAGGCAAAGAAAAGCTGTTCCTTGGTTTGAAAGAGGAACAATTTTAGACTTCTCTAATATAACGTACAAATCCCTGAGGTTAGCTCAAAACGCAGTAAGAAATATTCTAACTATGACCTAATCATATTTTCGATTTTCTGCTTTATATTGGTAAGCTGAATTTAACTTAAAGTTTGATACATAAAACTTTCAAAACACTTACTCTCGTTGAAATATCCCTTGCGTTTCCATGCAGATGTGACTCAGTACACCAGGCTTTGTCAATTTGTGTCTCGAAATTAATGCCAAAGCTACGGGCACATTTTTCCATTTTGTCAGCGATGACCATCTCAATGAGAGAGCAATTGCACTGTGGAACTTCTTCTCGGACAATCTCAACTTTTCTACGGCTTTGAGAAAAGTGAACCAACTGGGTTTTCACTTTAATTGTGTCTTCATGGCACTGCATTACGATTTGCCCAATGATTGGACCTTGGATTCTCAACACGAGTTGACTTTCTTTGACCACCATGTCTACAACCTCACCAAGCTCATACTCATTTGTTAAAATTTGCTTCAAAAGCTTTCCGAATAAAATCTCCGCAATTACTTTGTCTTGCAAGATAAATGCTAGGCTTCCTTCACAAGTGTTCTCTGTGTTGACGAGTATCGGAGATTGCCTTTCAAATTCTGAACCATCCTTGGCTGCCGATAGCATGAGTGGCAAAAGGGAAAAATGACCAGAAAGCTCAGAAAGAGAGGTCTCCGCAGAGTCTAGGAGTCCCAATTCTATGAAATATTGTGCTGCTAATTCTATATTTTGATGACTGCATAAGATCAAATGGGGCAGAATGTCTTTTACTGCATTCACACTCCTCACTTTTATTTCATTTAGTGCTGAGATATCAACTCCCTGAGATATTGGACACTTCACGAGAAATCCGCAAGGTCCTTTGCACTGAGTATTATCAGTTTTGAGCACCGAAGTTTTGAAATTTTTCCTCGATCTCCTTTCTCCCGAGTTGTCTTCTTTATGTGGAAATTTTGTAGTTTCCTTGCTTTGAAAGTTACTGGGAGCATCTTCATCGTTTTTGTAGGTGATTTTTCGATTGTACATCGCCTCAAAAGGCGTCAAGAAAATCAGATTATGCATGAACTTCTTGCCAAGGCATTGTATATTCGAACTAAAAATGGCAAACCGAAGTTCTCTAACGAGCAATGCATGAGTTACCTGCGGGGATTCTTTGTTTGACAGAGAAGAAAATAAACCATGCACAGCGTCTATCATCTCGTACATTTCCATTTCTACAAACGACTGAAGGATTACTGCTAGACCAATCATCAAGTTTGTAGTTTCGTCAAAAAATAAAGTTTTGCTTTCCGGTTTATCAACTCTCTTCGCTTTTCCCTCGATGAAGTTCTTCAATCGTCCGAATTCAGTTTTCAATCTCCCTTGAACTTCCGGGAAGGTTTGACTCGTCCTGGATTTTAGATGACACACTACAAAAATTACTTTCAGCAAAATGACTTCAGAACAATCAAAATGATCATAAAGCATACTTGCATATGTACACGAGAGAAAGAGAAAAGCGACACTTTGTTTAGCTCCAAGATTAAACAAACAAAGACCAGCTTTCAACCAGTTAAAACACAGCTTTGCATAGAGGTCCTCGGCAATAAGGTGATAGACGAAGGAATCCCCACAATCCTCACTACCTGAAAGTATTCCTGGACAATCGTCAAGATCACCCGGTTGATGCTGGTTGAGAACTCTGGCTATTTCCACCCCAAACTCGGAAACCAGACATTCAAATTTTACTTGCTCTTCACTATTTGTGTCAGGAGAAAGTTTTCTTCCGCCTCTCTGAAACAATTCTAAGACTTTTGGCTTCAGATGACCCTCAAGTGATACCTGGCAAATCCTTTCTACATTTTCCAGAACTCTCTGACTATGTATTAAAGATTTTTCTTCAGATCCAGCCAGCGATTCCAGCCTCGCAAGACCTGCATTGCATTTGAGAACATCAGGGTGAACAGAACCAAAAGCTCTGGTGAAAATCTCTAATGCATCGGTGAAACATTGCCTGGAGCGTGCAACGTTTTCCAAGTGGAGGAAAACAAGTCCTTGCATCGACAGAATGGAAGCACGTGTTGGATGATCCACACCACATCGTTTACCAACAACCGGCTCAAGATACGAGAAATAGCTACAAACAAGGTCAAGATTACCTTTATACAGGTGAATGTCGGCCACAGCCTCCACAATCGCGACTAACGAGTCTAGGGAAAAGTTTGCACTAACATCAACAAGTTCCTTCAGTCCTTGCAAGGTCGAAATCTTAGTATCAATAACTGTGGTGGTTCCACTAGAGGCTTGTAGCATCAAACGAACTAAACGCATTTTTAGCAAAATGCAAGTTAACACTCCCTTACTTTGGTCTAATTCTGTTTCACAAAATGTTTTCAAGTTTTCCAGTTCGTCCAAAGCTTTTCTAAGATTTCTGTTATCCATAGAGGTTAGGGCTTCATTGTAGTCAACGACTGCAATGATTCTTGGTTGTATGGCAAAGCGACTCACATTAGAAAGGAGATAATTTTTCAATTGCAAGTCAGCTGTATGGCTCCTCTGAGCCTGATACACTAGTCGTATGTTATTACCTATTGTTACGATTGTCTCCTCAGCAGTTACACACTGTTTTCCATTTTTGACAACCTCAAGAGCTTTTTGAAGACTAACTTTTGCTTTTTGAAAACTTCCTTTGATTATATACACGCAACCCAAGTTATTAAGGGCAACTCCAAGGCTAATAACTGATTCTTCGGTTTGTTCAATGTACTCTTTTAACTGCTCAAGTACTTTCTCAGCCATATCAACACAAATCGTGATCAAAGCTACAGCACCAACGACATTGGCAAAGCGGACAAAGAAGTTGCTCTTGGGAGACGTTTGGGGCAACAAAATTGCTCCAGTTCGAATACTCCACGCCACATTCTCTATCGATATTTCCTCTGCCCTATTTACTACCTCTATCTCTTGTAAACTGGGTTTTGAAAACTCACATGGCGTCAAGTCTTGGAAATACCGATGATTTTTTTGCAGTGATCCTTTCGCTTCAACCAAGCTGCCCTGTTGCAGATGATAAATCGTTGATTTAAGGAATTCTATTCTGTCGGGAGGATTCATTTTCCTTGTGTCTAGGAAAGAGAAAACAGATGGCTCATTTGGAGTGAGATCCTTTAACTAAAACTTATCGAAAGAGTTCTTTGCTCCACCACAAAACTCATTTTCGGTTGAACTAAAAAATTAAAACTTGAAAAAGCTGATACTTGAAAGAGTCCTCTATAGCTCGTTTGTTTGTTTTTATTTTTGTATGTATGTATTTAGGGGACCAATAATGGGGGGGGGGTTACTTATTGCTAACAGAGTTTAAAGTGAGGGGGACCACATAGCTGCCAATTTACTGCCAATAAAGAAGGAGGAGGGGAGAATCGGGAAAATTTTGTCGTGACACAACTAACCCCCCGTGATATTGACGGGTCCCTAAATGCGCCTTCCACAATTCCTCGATTACACGAATACTCTTCGCGTGACCTATTGTAAAGTTGTCTTCCACGTTAAATGGAACAAAAAGTGCAGGCCTAAAAGAGAAATACCATTATTCCGGAACCGCTGGCACAACGATGTATGTTTTCTAAAGAGTTATAGCTGTCTAAACTCTGACTTGACGAACAAACACTTCGTTTGCGACTCGTCCACGATTGGACTCCTAATAGCCCCTTTTCCGAATTACCCTTGGCCTCATTTTCAAAACGAGTCCCGGTGCTCATCTTTTCATATGATTATAAGTTTCCATTCACATGCAAATTAAACTCATTTTCACAAGAATTGTTGAGCACCAGGCCACGTTTAATTTTGAAAAAGAAGCCAAAAGTAATTCGGAAATTGCCTATTCCTCGGCTGTTACGGAACGATGATAGCGAGCCATTAGTTATGGAAGAGAAATGGATACAGGTGCTTGGGCAACTTTATTATCCTTAAATACATACCGTTACATCACCCCATGTCATCCAACACCTCTGAGATTGTTTACATTTGAATCAGTCGACAGGACGTAACCTAAAAAAACTAGAAACCGTCCGAAAAGCGTTAAGAATCTTAAGATGCTCTTGTTTGAGAAGGAGAAAGAATCTCTCCTAGATTATTATACGGTTTAAGAAGCTTAGCTTGCTGATTCCTATTTGGATCGGACGTCCTCATGCAATTTGCTAATTGTGTTTATATTGGTCAAGTCAAATATGCAAATCAATCATTCTAGGACTCCAAAAAGCATATGATTACGTGAAGTTACTGATCTTTCGACGGACTATGAGAATTTAGTTACCACTACAGAGGTGGACATAACAAAAGGTTGTCACTCGTTTGTGAAACGCTTGATCGAGTTTTCTCTTTAACATATCCTTATAAAGTAATCATTGAAGTTTGCGCAGAATTGCGAGTTAGATAAAGTAAAAACACTATAGTAAGCGTCTATTACAAATTGTTCAAAGTTTATTACCTCGTTCGTCCGTTTTCTTTTCTCAGAACTCATCAGCAGGTTCGGGCCCAGTGCAGTTATAATTCGCCTCTCACTAATTAATCAAGAAAGGTGGCAAAATACAAAGTTTGTTGAAAAGTCTACAGCAAATATTCCATTCTAAAAGCGAGATTAAATTAGCGCCAGATTTTTAACACTCTCCTTAGCTTTTGTTTGAAAATGTTCCTGGGGAAATACCATTGCAGTGAACTGACAAACAAGCTATAGATTTTAAAAATAAATTTAGCTGTAAAAATCGTTTATTCGTTAGGGTGGCCAATTTACAATTTCAACTTAGTTGATATAACCAAATTACCTAAGAAATACTAGCTTACAGCTACTTCAGTAGCTCACTTTCCCCGGCAATCCAGCCAGCTACTGTTGTTGCTATTCACATCTAAGAGAGGCATTTGAAGAGGGAGGCAAAAAGGGGTTCCAATCACACATCACGCTGAATTTTTTCGTTGAAACGACGAATCACACAGAATTTTTTAAAGAGGGGGGTATTGGGGTTTTGCGGTTTTGGCTATTTTTTATATTGGTTTTTCGGTTTTTAAGACAAAAGCGTCGGTTTTTCTGTTCGTTGCGTTTTGCGGATTTTCCGTTTTCAGCATTTGGTTTTCGGTTTTCGTCAGGTACCTTTTCAGTTTCTCATATTGGGGTTCCGGTTTCTCTTCGATCTGAGCAGCAGTTATACG